CCTAGTGAGTCTGGTCAGTTTCAGGGACTTCCTGAAGCTATTGTGAGTTGTTTATTTCTTCTTTGAGAACACCCCATTGTTTTACCTCCTATAAACATCTGGTGCTAAAATATGCTGTTGCTTCACTTCCCTTGCATACATTTGTCTTAAGAAGTTTCTCTCCCAGGTGGGAGCTTTTAATCTGAGGGAACTGCTACACAACAGTGATACCCTCTGGTGAGAACCAGGGAAAGCTACACCCTGGAGCCAGGTAGGAAGGTGCTGGGATGATGTTAATGGGACAGGAACATGCACAGGGAGGGGTGAGTCTCCAGGGAAGTGGTTCACAGAACCCCTGCTGAGGCAAAGCAGAAAAGATAAATTTATAGCTGAGAGACAATAAATCCATAAATCAGTGCAACTGAATTCCCTACATTTCCCACAGTGGGTGTGTTATTGTGGTTCACATTTCAAAGCGCCTACAGGCTGCTGTGCACCCAGACAGGATTGAGAAGCACAGAAAACCAGCTGGGTGTCTCCCATGTGCCCTGAACTTCCTTTTGGAGGTCATACATGCAGTTTTGTTGGAGGGAGAACTTCCCCACTCCCCTTACCCTTCTCTTGCAGCTGAGCCATATGTTTATTAAATGCAGCTCCCCACCCCCAGCCTCTCTTGGGCCATAGGCTTATGACACTGGACTCCATTAACAGTGTGGGCTGCAGGGCCGGTGGTCTCCTGGTGGTGGCGGCATCTTTTGGCATGCTCCTTCCTCCCTAGTCACTAAGCCCGATTCTCAGTCTTTAGGGAGACTCTTCTCTCTAATTATTATCCCATTACATAATTATATTTATTATATAAACCCTTTTAAAAATCTCTGACCCATCTGAGCTCTTACATCTGCAGCTAAGAGGCTTCGCTTATGCAAATGGCAAGAATATCCCGTTTGTTATATTTTTCTTATCTCAAGCTTTAAATGCTTCATAGAAAATGTTTTTTAAATGCAGGGAGGTGAAGGAACGATAGATGAAATCGGGTCCTAGGAGAGGAGGAGAAGAAAAAATCCACAGAATTCTGCAGAAGCGGGTCAGAATCTGGATGGAGAACCTGTTTCCTTCATAAAAGACAGACAAAAAAGTCAAGGAGAGTGCACAGCAAGCTTATGGGTCTGGTCACAGAAAGTCGGGAGCCATCCTGTGTGTGTCTGTTTTCACCGTAAAGGAGGGTAACGGTGTTTGTTTAGAATGAAGTGAAGGTGGAGCAGAACTGAGGAATGGGGAAGACTTAGCACAGGGAAAAAGCGCTAGCAAGCAGTGGACGAGACAAGAGACCACCTGGCCTCCACGCAGCCCAGCCGAGGTGGAGATCACAGATTGGGCGCCTGCACACCTGCGTTGTCCTCCACTCTCAATCAGTTCAGGACCCCTGCTTAGGGAATGGTGCCACCCACAGTGGCTTGGACCATTCCATATAGATTAGCTTAATTAGACACCATCTACACACACACACACACACACACACACACACACACACACACACGCCCATATGCCAACCAAACCTAGACAATACCTCAATGAGCTTGACTTCCCAGGTGACTCCAGATGGTGTCAAGTTGACAACTGACTTTAGGTATGAGATCTTAATAACACACACCATTTTTGTAACTATTTTTAAGGTGCTTTCTGGATGGTCCAGGTGTGGCGGGAGGGTGTGTGAAGTGTTTCCTCCCATTGGATGCTGATATGCTATTTTCTGCTGCTGTGCCTCTCTCAAGCTCACTTGGAGAATTTCCACTGGCCTCATGGTGCCCCAAGCACGGGGACCCACTCAGCTGTACTCATGACTGCTTCTGCTGCCCCTTCCCACCCTCCACCGGAAGCCGTCTGGATCCCCAGAGCAGCCTGAGGCTGAGAGCTAGGTAAACGGAGCCTCAGAATGTCTTGAAAGAGCCGGAGGGAGATAGCCCACTGATGAGAGCAGTCCTGCTCCCCGGGCCTTTTCCCCAACCTTGAACCCAGGCAAAGCCTGTTTGCAGGTGATGACCTGAAGCGGGAGAACAGGAGCCTGCCCTTAATTGCTTTTCAGGGAAAAGCCAACTTCTGATCTTGCCATTGATCTCCAGAGGCGGTGCCCACAGGTCATCTTTTATCTCCGAGTGCCCTCTACTGGCAAGGGAAACAAATTCCTCTTGTGCTAGGATGGCACCCAGGAGTTCAGACAGACCCCTTACCTTAAATTAGTCCCTCTTACAGGCTTCTGGGAATTCATATTGATACGTCTCTCTGCCAGCTTTCCCCCAGATGGAATCTAGGTTCTGAGATCAATGCTGTTAGAGCTGTGGGGGAGGCCTATGAATATTTTCTTTGGTCTCATCCACAAGGCCTGTGATACACCTGCCTTCCCGCTCCCAGGCAGTGTGTGGTAGTGAATCCTCACATCTACGTGGGACCACACACTTCTCTGCTGAGACCCATCTGCTGTCATTTCTCCGTCCCCACCGCTCAGTGGAGTCCTCGCCTGTGATGGAGGTGAGTCCTGGGTGGGGCTGTGTAACACCCTCCTTGCTAGCTCTGTAAAACTAGACCATCTGTCCTTGGATCCTAAGAGTCACCCTGGGCTTTCCCATAACCTGGAACTCAGACCATTGGAAAGACGGGGTGTGTCAGCATCCAATGCATAAAATACACTGGGACCTCTCCTACCCTTCTTTCCTTGTCTGCTCAGTCCCTGCCATGGGTGATTGGCTAGTGAGCCCACGGGAGGGGGGATTGGGTGGGGTAAGCATTGGACTGGCAGAGAAATGAAAGAGAGAAAATGGCCCAGCAAGCTTCCCCTCCAGATCTGGTCTCACAGCACACTGTGTGCTTAGCTTTTTCTTTCCTCATAGCTGAAAACCAAAAACTTGATGTTTCTTTCCTGGTTCTCATATTGACCTCTTCGGAGTCATTTGTCCTTGAGTTAAACAATCTGGGCTGCAGGTAGGACATGAATTTGGGAGAAGTGGGGAGATGGAAGTGGGTATGGGAGAAGCTATGGAGTTGCTAGTGAATATGATTAAAATGTATTGTATGAAATTCTCAAAGGACTGAGGGTTTTGTTGTTGTTGTTTTGTTTTTTTAAGATACAGACATGTGGGCCCAATTCAGAGGGTCCCTGTGCTATCCAAAAAGCATACTGACTTAACATGAGCATTTCTTTCCCCTCCAGGTTGCAGGTTGGCAGGGGTTCTGTTCCGCACTCGGAGGCTCTGATAATGAGCCCCTCTCCTTGCATCAGAATATGGCTTAGTGTTTAATGAGAGAAGAGAGGAGCCCAGGGCAGCACCCGGGTGGCAGCAGGACCCCTGCCATCCTCCCCACGGTTGCTCTCTGTGTGGTTAGATGTGAGCTGTCCCCCATCGGTCTGTGTGTTTGAACACTTGGTCCCCAGCTTGTGGCTGTTTGGGAAAGTTGTAAAGGAGCCTTTGGCATGTGATGCCTCGCTGGAGGAAGTACGTCGCTGCGGACTGGCCTTGAGGCTTGCTAGCCCAGCCTTGATCCTCGCCTGCCAGCACAGTGTGGCCAATGTCCCCTACGCCACTGCCAATATTTGTCCCGCTGTGATGGACAGATTGTATTCTCTTGAGGTGCAAGCTATAGTAAGCTCACCCCACCTTAAACTGCTTCCTGTCTCTACTCAAACATACTCTGCCCCTCACTGCTCCCTCTGCTCAAATAAACGTTCCTGCCTCAGATCTCACATGGTAAAGCCAATGTCCCTCCCTGGAGAGGCTTTTGGGTACTGCTAATCTGAAGTAGCCCTCACATCAACCCTCTGCTCGGCTCTTACTGTTCTGGGGATACATCTATTGTCCCTCCTCATGATTGAAAAGGTAAAGGCCCCCAGTTAAGTGGCTCCCCAGGGTCAACACTACCAAATGATTGATGTTGATGAAGCCATGCCCCCACAGTGTCCCTGACTAGCATTCATGATGTCATACCCCCAAATGTTCTCCAGTGTCCCTAACACCCATGATGCCATGCCCTTGTCCCTAACACTCGTGAAGCCACGCCCCCA